AAATAAAATCTTAAAAAATAAAAATAAAAATAAATAAATAAATGTTAACTTAAAAAAAACCTTATACTATTAATTTTGTACCATTACCCAACTCTATACTTCACATTATACTATTTCATGAATTCTACTACTGTGTTTATTTCAGATACTAATTTTTTAGTTTCCTCTGGAATTTTAACATTTATCCATTAATATATTAAATATGATAGTTTTTCATATTGGTTTGTTTGCTGGAACTCCATCTGTGTTAAAGTTGAGAAACTTAAAAGATCTCCAGGAAAACCATGCTAAGACCCTTTATGCAAACTTGTATGTTCAGTAAAGAAATATAGACAGTTCCCTAAATAAAGACATTTATTGAGGACACAATAAATATCTGAAATTGGTACTACCATATATTATTATTATTTCCATCCAAAAACCCTTACTGGATAATTAACTCCCACTCAAAATCCTAGCTGTGCTGATAACTAGCTGTGTGACCATGGGCAAGTTCCTTAAACAGTGTGTGCCTCCGTGTTCTCATATGTAAAATGCTAATAGTTACAGCATCCACCTCATAGGTTTATTGTGACGATTCCTTGGGTCAAGATACATAAAGCCTTCACAAAGCCTCCACCATAAATGTCAGCAACTGCAAACACTATGACCATTAGTACTATGTCAATGCTACTAGTTAGAAAGTCCCTACAGGACAACAGTGGAAAGGTTCTGGGCTTTGAAATTAGTCAGACGTAGATGAAAATCTTTACCCTGCTTCTTCCAGCTGTGTAAATGTAGGCAAATTATTTACAGCATCTAAGCTTCATTTTTCTCATGTGTAAAATCAGGATGGTAATAACTACCTCTCAGATTTTTTCATGAGAATTGAGGATAATATATGAAAAGTACACAGTACAATAAGAAGCCCATAATGGCACTAAAAAAAAAAAATCAGAATCATAATAACCAAACTTCTAGATCTCTTCAGTGTTTTGTTTTTACTTACAAAATACAATTACATTCTTTTCAGTTTGCTTTGTTTTGTTTTGACTAAAATAGTAAGTGCTCATTTAAAACTTCTGAATTACACATTTTTAATTTTAAATTTTGTCTTTAGATACTAAAAAATATAAATGAGACATAACCGCTTCAACATATTGATACATACTCTTCATTTTTTTTCTGTGTGTACCCCTTTTGCTCTCTGACCCACTCATATATTTTTGAAGAGTACTGGCAATCTAGGGTCACTGATGTCTGACAGTAGATGAAGTGCTCATATTAACAATTAAGGAGGGCACGTGATGTGATGAGCACTGGGTGTTATACGCAACTAATGAGTCATTGAACACTACATCAAAAACTAATGATGTACTATATGTTGGCTAATTGAACTTAATAAAAAATAACAATAAAGAATTTCTGTGAGCTAAGCACAGGAAAGCATTTCAGAATCTTTCTTCCCCACCATTCCTGACCTAGGTCGAGAAGCAGAATGGCCTTGAATAGTGAGAGATGCGCATAGGGCTTTCCTGGTCACTCTGTTCCGCACATTCCTCTGACAGGAACTAGAGTCTCTCCAGCCACACCTTACACCTGGTGGGTGGCCCTGCAGGTCAGGTGTGTCTAGAACAGGCTCCTGCGTATCTTCTGAGACACAATCTTCTTGCCAGTTTCACTTCCAAAGCAACGGTTCACTTCCCGGGCTTGGTATTCTTCAGGACTTTATCATATGAACTATTCAAAACCCACCACCCCCCACCAGCTCGTCTCCACTTCAAAGTGTCATTATCCCCAGTTTATGTAAGTTTATATAATTCACACAACTTACGTATACTGGGAACAAATTTCTAATTATTGAAGAAAATACACACAGAAATTTTAAAAACCTGCATTTGACTAGACTTGAGGGTATTTGAAGGTATTTTGAAACTTTTTAGACGTTAGAAGTTCACCTCAGAGAGTTGGAAAGAAAGCACCTCATTCACTATTCTAACAGCGTTGTTCAATGTGGTGCTACGTTTCCGGAACAGCTTAAATGTTTTCACAAATATCTCCTTTATCAGCGTGCCTTCTTCTATCTTGCTGGAACATTATTCAGAAACAGGTGTTCCCCGTGAACAAAATCCCCACCTGAATTTAGAAAGATTGTTTCTGTTGTTTCCTTTTCATGATTTAAACTGGGATTATTTATTCCCTGTCATATTGATCTGAGTTTACACTGATCATTGCTATAAACAACAATAGCATCACTATTTTGAGCTTTTCGAGACAGGCATAACAGAATATTCTAATATAGAAATCAGAAGTATAAAGAGCTACAGACAACTCATGAAAGAACTACACAGGCAAAAACAAAACAAAACAAAACAAAAACCTAGGATCTGATTCTCACTCTCTGATCTATTAAAATCCCTGATACCCAGAACAGTATTGTAAAATCTAGTAGTACTATACATTTTCCTTGAAAAAGAAATAATATCTTCGTTGAGCATACATCATACACATGTGTCCACACAAAACAGTGCTGCTTCTCTCTTATTTTGATTTATTTTTATAATTATGCATATTTTATTTGCACATAGACCTTTAGCATAAAATATTTAATCCAATTCATATTAAGCACATACTCTCTACTTCTTTACAGGAGGGGGACACAAAATCACCCGGTAATTTGCACCATCCATTATTTCAAGCAGATTTCCACTGATTTATACCAGAAAAATATCTAGATTTTTTTTTTAGCACAGTATAAACTATGAGATTTGGTTTGGACTATAGAGAAAGTGGAGATAATGACTAATTTAAAGGGGTTTTCAGCTTCCATATGCCATTTTTTCATATCATATGATAAAAGATCACAACACTTTCTTGCGACCCCAAAACAGCCCAGAATCTTTTCAAGACCCCAGGCCAGGATGCCATTAGAACTTAAACACTCCTGCTGTTCCTGGCATAGCATGCTCATGCATTTGTTCAATAAACATTTATGAACAGCTTCTATCTGGTTCTAGAGATGTAATGATGAGACTGAGGCAGAGTCCCTTTCCCAGCACAAGAGGGGCTGTGGGGAGGCAGACAAGTTCAAGATTCCCATAGAGCACGTGTTCTATGGACTCACACAATACACTGGAAAGGAAATGGGGACTCTCGGTGTCATCAGTTTTATAATTTTTCTTTGGATTTTATGTCCTGCCCCAGAATCTGCCCCTTCTTACAAAGGTTTAGTTCAATAATAATAGCTTTCTCTTAACTTTGGTGATGAACAAACCTCCGTCAAGCCTTTAAATGAACAGGTTCATGCAGTTAGTATAAACAAGAAAATGCATGATCAGGGTTTTTGACAATTAGTGAAAAGGGCAATAATAATAATAAGAGTAGCTTAGATGTCTCCTTTCTTTCACTTATTCGATAAATATCATGGAGTAATTACTGTGTGCATCGTCTGCACTATGGATAATGCAAGATTGAACAGGCAAGAATTCATGGAACTCCCTTGCCCTTAATGGTATTGTGTTCTTGTAGGAAATACTGTTGACCCTTGAACAATATGGGTTTGTTTGCTTGGGGTTTTTTTAGATTTTATTTATTTATTTGTCAGGGAAAGAGAGAGCGTGCACACAAGCAGGGGGAGCACAAGAGGAGGGAGAACCAGGCTCCCCGCTGAGCAAGGAGCCGAATGACCTGAACGGAAGGCAGACCCTTAACCAACTGAGCCACCCAGGCAACCCGAACAATATGGGTTTGAGCTACATGGGTCCACTTTGCGAATATTTTTTCTAATGCATCAAACTCCCTGCTCAGGAATTTTGAGAGTAGCTTATATTTGAAAAAATAAACCTGAAGCCTCTTTCACTTGGAGATTCTCCTTCTCTTAAATATTTTAAGAACTAACCTTCAGGGTTATACTATTTCAACAACTTAGACAAATATAATTTTATAACAGAAAAGTTTTCTGCACACTTCTTTGATAATCATCAAGTAATTTTTACTTACAGACAAAACATGTCTAAACTAGGCCTAAACAATCATATATTTTTGGTTCTTACAAACCAAGCAAGTAAAGATTCTGAAACATAATCAATTAACAAAACAGAAAATGACACTGGATATGAAATGCAAATTGTAAGCAATAATGTTTTAATACTGACGTGATTAATTTGCTATTAAATATTTATGTAAAATATAAGGTGTATGACTAACATTTAGGAGGACATACCTTTACTATCATTTTTCTCCAATTCTTTTAGTGCTTGAACAAATGTCTGCTGACTTTCAGTGAGAGGCCAACTGTTACACAATACCAAACACTGTATAATATACTTGTTGACCTGTGAAATAAAATGCAGGGTTTAATCACAAACAATAAGAATAAATGTAGTATTTGCCCAATAAGCACGTAATAAATGCATAATTTTCTGTATCACATAATCATAATTTGGTCAAGTACTATCAGATGTTCTCCAAAATGCTGTAATATCACAGTCTATAAAATTTATCTTCACATCCCCACCAACACCTGCAATTAGATAGTCTATTGTTTATTAATTTTTGCATCCGTGTTTAAAAATGAAACTTACTAATTTTATTTTTGTTACTCATCAGTTTTGGGATCAGGATTACATTAAAAAGGATTGGGAAGTTTGTGTTGTCTTTCTGTTTTCTAGAACAACTTATCCCTTGAAGGTCTGTTAGAGTTATTCTGTGAAGTCAGCTGAGCCTATGACTTTTGGAAAGGTAAAATTTTGATTACCATTTAAGTGTTATTATTCTTTATTATTATTATTATTATTTCATATTTCCTATCTTCTATTGAAGCAGCTTTGTCAGTCCTCTCCCACCCCAGGCATTTGTTATGTCTTCTTTCCCTTAAGTCTTAAATTCACTAGCATAGAGTTGTGTTTAATAGTTTAATTTTTTTTTTAAAAAAACCTGTTGCTTGCATTTATACCTCCACCCTATTTTGTTGTTGTTGTTGTTCTGTATTTGATTTATTTACATTTTCTTTTTTTTTTTTTCTTTCTTAGCTGGTCTTACAAGAAGCATGCCCACGTATTGATTGTAAAAAAGTTTAGGATTCATGAACCTTGCTAAATTTTGTTCCCCGTTTTATTAATTTCTACCTTTACTTTTATTAAAACTTTTTCTTATTTTTTCTTTGAGTTATTATTTTGCCTTTTTTCTAACATTTTGTTTCAATAGCTTAGCTCATTTGTTTTTAATCATTCATACTTCCTGATGAAATAATTTGAAAGTCAACATTCCACTGAATGCTACTTTAGATGTGGTTACAAATTTTGATTTGTATTTTTTAGTTGTTACCGAATTCTTTGTATTCATGATTTCTTTTTTTTTATGTTCTTTGTAACTAAAGAACTATTTGGCATATTTTCTTTAGCTTCCACATTTATGGGATTTTAGGCTGTTATTTACTAATTTCTATATAATTACATTATGTTCAGATAACATCTATAAAATATAGTTTGGTTTTTATTGAGGCTTTGCATGTGTGCTATGAAAAAGTATATTCTCAACATATTAGGTAAAGTGTTCTATATAAATATCTAAAAAATTAAGCTTACATTTAAATTTTTCAAACCCTAGTAATATGTGTTTTTTCAGCTTGATCTATTGATTTCTGAGCGCTGTGCATTAAAGTGTTCAACTATTAACTAACTTTATTTTTCTCTGCAGTTCTAAACAACTTTTGCTTTTTATTCATTGAGTCTGGACAGTTAGGTTATGGTCATATTTACTTGTTATATTCTTCCTTTTATTTTTACACAATATCCTTCATGAATTCTATGCACGGAGACATTTCTCACAGTTCTCAGTCCAACTTTAAACTTTCGGTGCCATTTTGTTTAAAGGTGTCACTTTCAGGTTACTTATAGTTGAATCTTACTTTTTAATCTAACTTTAGTTTTTTATTCTTTTAATTGATTAATAATTCATTTGTGCTTATTGTCATTAGTCATTTAGGATTTATTTCTGGTCTTTTATTTTTATTTCTTTTTATTTATTTGTTTGTTTTGTTTCTGATGAATACATCATGTTTCTTTTCTGAAATGACATGAATTGTCCCTTATTTTACATATACATGTATATATTTAACTTAAGGTATGTATAAATTAGTTTTGTTAATATGTGACCTTTTTAATAATTATAGAGCCTCGTAACTCGTGTAACATAAGATATTTACATCTACATTATAGGGTTAGTATACACATTAAACTTGCCATATATTTTAACATCTTGGCACAGAGAAACTATTAAATAACGCTCAATCCCTTGATCCTGTTATACACTTGTGGTATTGCAGACAGAAAGTATCATATAGCATGTCAATGCTTAGGAAAAGAATCATCGTTATTTTTGTTAGATTTTTAGGAGTAATACCATTCATTGAGGGTTCTCTTAAACATAAATGTACCTGCTGTGGAGTGCTAGCATTTTCTTCTATGGTGGGCATACTGGCAGTTTCCTCCTCCATAATGGGCTGCCCAGTGTCTACGACTGCACTTGCAGGTCTACCCTTATAGGATTTCTGACTTCCCTGTGCAGATTTCTTCTTGATGTACAATTCTTGCTCTTTCTTGGATGAAGCATGCATTAAAAGAATTTGTTTGCTAGCTGAAAAGGAGAAATTTATTACACTTACATTAAACTGTGTGAAATGCATAGTTACGACAGACTGTGTTCTTTAGGTATATCCTTTTATAAGACACTCAAAGGAACAGGTCAGTTTGTTTTGTTTTAATGAGATAAAAAGCAATATCACTAGCTTCTGGGAGATATTCTGGTCTTAAAGAAACTTATATAATAGCCTGTGACTTGCATAGAGCAATGCATATTCTGAGAAACCACTGATTGCTAAAAGAATGTACAATTCAACAATTTTTCATTCATTTTGTGTCATTGAATGACACTAAACTAATATCATATACTGTGACTTCTTCAGGGTTTATACACTATTGTGTGTATGTTATTACATTTATGTAAGACTTTCATTTTATTTTTAACTTCTCTATTCATTCTTCTGTAATTAAAAGATAATAAAACTACCATTTGGAGGGATAAAAATAGAAATGTGCCCAATGTTATTAATTGATCAAACATATATTGAGAGAACATAAGTGAATGACACAGAGAAATTCCAGTTCTAGCCATGAAAAAATAATGGCATTGGATTTACTCAAAACCACGAAAAAAAAATAAAATTAGATAAAATGTATGAAGCCACTGTTTTCAGGCATTAAACAATGCACAGCCCAGGGCCGTAATTCTTTAAAGAGAGGAAACATACAAGAAGATCTGTCCACTTCCGCAGATTTCTGCCTGTGAGCACCATCTCGATTGTGACGCAGGGAAGGAGAGTCCAAACAGTGAACAACAGTGTTGTCAGGTTCAGGTAGCAAGACTGTAGTTTGAAGCTCCTGAGACAACTAAAATTTGTGAGGCAGGGTGCCAGGGGCAAGTACTGAGCCCAGAAATATGTATAGTGGTCCACTTGGGTCTTTAATTGAATTCTAAACTTTATTTGTACAAACATCTAATGGTGCCTGGCAGACAACTCCCAGGAGATTGTGAGCTTAATGGAGATTCTGAAGTTTGTACAGTGTTGAAAGACACTGAAGTTCTGCCGAAGTATGGAAATTTAATGAACACACAGGGCATCAGTTGAGACTCAAGAAAGGCTATTCTTTAAGGGTAGTACAATGCTAACCCTAGAGTAATGGAAGCTCTAGACCCAATTTAAGAAAGCTTAGAACCAAGTCTTGAGAGGATTAAACTAAGCTGTCAATAAACTGCTTACTAGAACAAAATTCAAAACTCTTTCAATGAAGAGAGCATAAGCTTGACTCTTAGCAATGTACTGTATGTAGCACACAATCATTCTGATATGTGAAGAAGCAAAAAATATGAACATCATTTGAGAAAAAAGTCAATAGAAATAATGGCATAGCTGACACAGATGTTAAAGTTAGCAATAAAAAAAAAAAAAAAAAAACTTTACCAAACAAAAACTTTAAAATAGCTATTAGAAATGTGCTTAAGGATTTAAGAGAAAAGATCAACATAATGAAAGAATAAATGGTGAATATCAACAGAAAAATGGAACAGAGAATCAAAATGAAATTCAAGGTTGGACTATATCTGGAATGACACATTCCTGAATGGACTTTATTTTTTTTTAAGATTTTATTTATTTATTTGACAAAGAAAGCACAAGAGCACAAGCAGGGGGAGCATCAGAAGGAAAGGGAGAAGCAGGCTCTCTGCTGAACAGGGAGCCAGATGTGGGGCTCGATCCCAGGGTCCTGGCATCATGACCTGAGCTGAAGGCAGATGCTTAACTGACTGAGTGACCCAGGTGCCCCATTCCTGGATGGACTTTAAAGGCACATATTCAAATCAGAAGAAAAGATTAGTAAACTTGAAGATAAGCAATCAAAATGATCGAAATAGAAGCACAGAGTGAAAAAAATGAATAGAGGCTAACTGCCCCTGGTATTATATTGTAGTGGGTGGAATAGTGATCCACCCAAAGAGGTAGGTCTATCCAGAATGTGACCTTATCCGATAGAAGGGTATTTGCAGCTGTGATTAAGGTAAGGGTCCCCAGGTAAGATCAACCTGGATTAGTGTGGGCCCTAAATCTAATGATGGGTGTCCTTAAAAGAGAATGAAAAGGGGATGACACAGAGCCACACAGAAAGAAGAAGGCTATGTGAAGACAGAGGCAGAGATTGCCAAAATTGTGCCATCACAAGCCAAGAAATGCCAAGAGCCATCAAAAACTGGAAGAGGTAAAGGAGGATTCTCTTGTAGAAACTTTGATGGGAGTGTGGCCTTGACAACACCTTAATTTTGGGCCTCTGACTTCCAGAACCATAAGAGAATGAATTTTTGTTGGTTTAAGCCACCCACTTTGGGGTAATTTGTTACAGCAGCCCTAGAAAATTAACACAGATATCAAGGGATCTAAAGTACATGCCTTCTTAGTCCTACGTGGCACTACTAATAAAACAAAACATTTAGGTATGAACTTAAGAAAGGATGTATAAAGTCAATACATTGAAAGTACAGAACACTGTTGAGAGAAATTAAACACTAAAATAGGTTGAGAGATATACTGTGTTCATGCGACCAGCAAACTCAGTTTGTTAAGATGCCATTCTCCCCAGGTTCAATACAATCCCAATCAAAATCTAAAGCTACAATTTTCAAGGAAAGGTGGTGTTGGACTAAGAGTGACTATTGGCTGATTGAATATCAATTGATCAAAATAGAGCTCCAAAATAGACCCATGCACACATAGTCAACTGATTTTTTTACAAAAGTGTCAAGGGAATTCAATGTGCAAAATAATGGCTTTCCAACATAAAGTGTCAGAACAACTGGATGGCCATATGGGAATAAAAAGAACCAAAACCTTAAAAACAAGGCACAGTTTGAAGATCGAAACTGACTTATTGGGAGGAACAGAAAAATTCAGTTTCTACTGTAGATTTACATAATTAAGAGGCAGCTTTAATTGCCATGATTTTTCCCCCTTTTTGGAAGTATAAGAACCTTCAGGACAACAGAACTTATTTCCAGAATTGCAGAAGAAAACATATATCCCTTATTTTGATTTAATCACCACACTTATTTAATGAGTATATTCTGTGCAATTTTTTCTCAGATTGTCTTTAACTTTGTTTTTAAAATGACCTTCAAAATAAACTGTTAAAACATCAAAAAAAAGAACGAGAACCTTGATCCTCTACTTTACATTATATACAAACATTCGAGATGGGTTATAAAACTAAACATAGATGCTAAGATTATTAAATGTATAGGATAAAATATGACATGTAATATCCATGACCTTGGATTAAGGAACGATTTCTTAGATAATATACAAATAGCACTAGTAATTTTTTCTAAATGATGACTGACTTCATCAAAATTAAAAGCTCTTAAAAAGTTATTGCTGGGGCGCCAGGAAGCTCAGTCGGTTAAGCGTCTGCCTTCGGCTCAAGTCATGATCCTAGAGTCCTGGGATTGAGCCCCTCATGAGGCTCCCTGCTCAGTGGGGAGCCTGCGTCTCCCTCTCCCTTTGCCCCTGCCCCCACTCGTGCTCTCAATCTCTTTCTCTCTCTCGCTTGCATTCACTCTATCTCAAATAAATAAATAAAATCTTTTTAAAAAATTTATTGCTAAGGAAGTGAAAAGACAAGAGATCATATTTGCACAGCAAATATTTGATGAAGATGTGTTTCCAGTATATATAAAAAAAGACAACCCATTAAAAATATGGCCATAATGTATGAATAGACACTTCATTCAATGAGTTATACATATGGCCAATAAGCTCAACATCATTAGCAAATTTAAACCACAAAAAAATAGCACTACATACCCACCAGAATGACTAAAATAAAAAACATTGGCAATAAATGTTGGCAAAAATATGGAGAAACCGGAACTCGTATACTTTGCTGATGGGAGTGTAAATGATACAGTCTCTTTGATAAATTTTTTTTGCCAAGTTAAAAAAGATAAAATATACATATGTCAAGCCATGGCACATTAATTGAACTCCTGAATATTGATTCAAGAAAAATGAAAACATTGTTTAAAAAAAAACTTATACATGTATGTCTCTAGCAGCTTTAGTTATCATATCCTAAAACTGGAATAAACGCATATGTTCAAAAGAGAATAAATAAATAAAGTGTAGTATACCCATACAATGGGATAATACTCCACAATATAAAAAGAAATGCAGGGGCGCCTGGGTGGCTCAGTCATTGCTTGTGTTCCCTCTCTCGCTGTGTCTCTCTCTGTCAAATAAATAAATAAAATCTTAAAAAAAAAAAAAAGAAAAGAAATGCAGTAGCAACAACAGGAATGTACCTTAAAAACATTATCTGAAGCTGAAGATACCAATGCCAAAAGAGTATTTGTATGGTTTCATGAAGTTCTAGAACAGGTAAAATTAGTCTACTGTGTTGAAAATCTGAACAGTGGTTGCCTCTTTGGGGAGGGGGGAACTGAATAGAAATGGCCTTGAGAGATCTTTGTGGGTAATAGAAATGTCTATATCTTCTTAGAGGTGTGGGTCACACTAGCGTATGCCCTTACCAAATTTATCAGATTAGGTTTGTGCCTTTTGCTCGACATAAATTATACTTTGATTAACAGTTAAGAATGAATGACACAAAGTCTCTACCCTTGTGAAGTAATTCCTTCATTACTTCCTTCAGATATTAAGTCATTCATTCAAACCATCATTCAACCACATATGAAAAAGGAGAAAATTTTCCTTCATATATGAGAATCTACAAATCACTCAGAAAAAAAAAAAAACCCAGCTAGTTCCAATAGAAAAATAGGCATACGACACAAAAATTTACAAAGAAGAAAATATAAAAGGAAGATAAATAAGATATATAAAATCATACATGCTTGAACTTCACTAACTCTAAGTGTAATATAAATTAATATTTTTAGCAGTCACATTGACAAAAATCAAGCGTATGATAACTTAGAATAAAGGATAAAATAAGGTAAGTTTACACAAACTCCATGGAGGACAATTTGACAATATATACAAAAATTAAACTGTAGGTTCCCCTGACCCCAGAGTTCTACATCTAAGCATTTATCCAATATATATGCATATACACGTTCATAAAATTATATACATGGGTTAAAAAAAATAACCTCAGCATTCTTTGTGTAAATATAAGATTAAAGTTATCACAAATCACAATCACTAGGAGACTGACTACATTAATTATAGTATATCATCAACAAAATTAAGCCTTATACAGCCATATGAAATAAATATTTTACTATCCCTAGTCTGTAGTACTTCCTCAAAGACCCAATCTCTTAGATTGTAAAATCTGAGGAAAATTCCAAATTTGATATTAGCCCTGGTATACTGGTACTTACAAGATTTTATTCTTAGAAATTATATGAAATATATTGACATTCTTTCAAATTCCCATGAGAGAAAACGAAACCTGAAGAGGCATGTATTTAAGATTTTGTTACTGGGTCACTTCAGAGTCTTCTACATCTTTGCAATGGAGTTTATTTCTTCTTTCATACAATAGAATGTTTGCTTACAGAATAAATATCATAGTCTGCCATGTCCTATTCTCCTACAAATATTATGTGCACATACACACACACACATATATTTTTTTGCATGTACTTTTGGTGGGGGTACTCCAGAAATACAGGTTGTAAAGAATTCATAAGTGAATACATTTCCAAGAAAAGCAGCTGAAAAATGCTGAGAAAGAAAAAGGAATTCCAATGTCTGCTTACATAATTCATAAATACAAATTAATAGCATTTCTTTAAAAATGATATCCTGTTTGAAATCTAAATCAAGAAATAATCTAACTCACAGTAACAGCTCTACCAGTATCTATGGAGAAACTTACAAAATCTATTCTGAAACATAAAAAAAGTCATGAATAAATGGAAAGAAATAGCCTTTACATGCATATGAATTCAATATTATAAAGGTGTCAGTTCTCCTTAAATTAATTAATCTACATAGTCAAGGCAGTCAGAAGGAAAATGATAGATTTTTACATGGTTTGAAGGGAATTCGAAAAAATTGTACTAAAGGTCATCTAGGAATACAAATGTGAAAATTAGAAATATCTTGTAAAAGCAGAACAATCTTGGATAATGGCTGTAATTTTGGATTAATTTCTGAATTCTGTTCCAATTACCCTTCTACTCCATTTCTGTCCCTTTCTTTGCCATAAGTAAACTCATAAAATTATTTAAATGTTAATGATAACCATGTCCACTATCACCACTGCTATTCAACATAGTATTGGAAGTCCTAGCCACAGCAATCAGACAACAAAAAGAAATCAAAGGCATCCAAATTGGCAA